TTGTCAGGTATTTAAAAAAAAAAGTACCTGAATATTACTTGTGATACCATGGTACATGAGCCAGAGTGGTTCAGTTTAATTCCACTCTCTGTTATAGTTAATCAGCAATATAAATAAGTTATACATCAACTGAATGTTCATCAGTGTATTTAAAAGCTATGTGGAACTAAAATTAGATTACTTATTAATTATGTTCTACACACGACTATATTTGATAATTCGTAAAGAAGTAAATAATTAAAATTACTTAAAACTGTAAATTATTGATGATAAGAAATGTGTATCCAAACTACACTCAATGACGTAAAGGCACATTGTGCTCTAGAATTTATTGTAAATTTAGCGTTTTGGAATGGCATAGATACATCCTCCTTTTTAGTCGTATGGTGTGAACCCGTTAACGCACATAGTGTTTGTACTGTGAGAAAGCCATACCAAAGAGGATAAACGCTCTAAGTGTGTAATGAAATATACATTATCCAGTGTTACAGGTTTAGTTGAATCTGCCATATCTAGAAGCTTCTTTAGTCATCTGACCAAGACGAGATATTTGATAGTCGCTTGAAAACGTTTGGTGACAAGTTCTGAGACGTATGAAATACGAGCCATTTGTAACAGTTATGTTTTTATCTCCCCGAAGAATATTCAATTTTTCTGTGTGAAATAAAATGGTTCAACTGATCTAGCGCTTGAGTATTCACAGCGAACTGAATAAATATACATTTGTTTTTGTATAATTTGGATCATTTCAATTCATCAGATTCGTAAGTTCTTACGAGTTAACATTTAAAATTGAATTCAATGCGAAGGTGTTAAGATACGTTTACACCATATTTATGCTAAATTCCATAAAATTATTCAAAATTACTGCCAGTTCTTTTAAACATAAAATGTTTTTAAACATAAAATGTTTTTCTTTTATTAGATTTCAAATAAAGTCCACTTATATTTCAACATTTTATGTGTCTGGTACATTTCTGGAAATTATTAAAAGAATATTAAAATCAACAATTTATTCTTATCATTATTTCAAATTATTTCCTGTAATTAATTGTGCTTATTAATTCTTGAAAATAATTAAATTTAGTAATATTGCACTTATTAATGCCCTGAAAATAATTTTTATGATTTGGATTAATTTTTTTTGAATTGACAAGTAATACCTATGAGTGTATTATGGATTATGAAATACATTAATATTTATGTGATGATTATTGATTAAACATTAATATTTATGTTAAAAGAAGTACTTGTGTAGGGTGGTTGCCCCCAAGGCATTGTTATTATGAATACCAATGATAGGAGATAAATCAACTTGGACATTCAACGGAATAAAGAAGGTTAATACTTGTGGATATACACATTTGTGAATGCTTTCAAATCAAAGTCGTATAAGTGTATGTAATAGTAGTACCATAGTTACTCGAGTATAAGTCCACTTTGGGTACAGGCCTACCCCCTACTTTACCCGCAGTTTTACATACTGTACCAGCCTTTCCTTTTTTTTACGCAAAAATATGAATAATTTGCACCAATTTTCTTAAAATTTGACCCATTTTACACAAAATACGAGAAATCCGGACCAAGTTTTAAAATGTGGACCCATTCTTTGTGGACCCAATAGAAAAATTGTGTGGGACTGTCCCAACTGTCCCAATAGCTGGCTACGGTGTACATCATTAGTGAGAAAAACTGTATAAATGCTCGTCTTTTGAAAAAAAAAATGCCAGTTCATAATGAATGTTCACGATGGTCTTATTCCACTCTGGTATGTTTATCCTTGATTTTTGAAATCTTGGATCCTTGAAGCATCTCTCGATCGCACAAAACTGTGAGACAGTTCGCTATAGTATTTCACTTTGAGGCGATTGTTGTCTGTCTACATTAATGCTATCAGTATAGCAACCTAGTACATGGGAATAGTCAACTTACTTTATGGTGTTATGTGTGTAGGAATGCTTTTCCCTTGTGTGAGAATGCACGTTTGGGTGTGTGAGAATGCATGTTTGGGTGTGTGAGAATGCAGTTTGTGTTTTAAGTGCTTGTGTGCATGATTTTGTGGTGGTACATTATAATGCGATAGTTCATGAGTGCGTGATTTTGAATGTTTATACGTGAAGAACATGAAATGATAATGCGTGCTTACGATCATGTATGCTTTATTGAGGTGTGACACGTGTACCTGATATCAGCATGCAATTTTCCACATAGGTGGTAACAAAATATAAACAGTAATTATTGGATAGTGACTATTATGCTCTACCAAAATCTGTATTGGGGAATACAGCACATGCAGTTGCTGCAACGAGGCAAATCATTGCTTGCTAACAACATAATCTCATGGAATAAATGCAAGCTTAGTATATATATGCATCAAAAGTCACAGTACTTTTCGCATGCATTCAATATAAGCATCTCTGTCATCATGCTTGCTTGTGGAACATCTGATTGGCTGCTTCCGCTGTTAGTAATAACAGGATTTATAAGCCAATTGTCAGGCTATTTAGTTGTATTTCCAGATTGGATTTGGAAATGGACTAGAAACTGTGTGCTTTTCTGGGATTTTGAATTCCGAAGTAAATTTTCAGTAACTTATTAAATTTTGCTTGACGGTAATAAAGATTAACATTGGATACAAAGAAATTAAATGGGAATTGTTTACATGAAGGAAGTTAGGGAGAAAGAAATTATTTAACTTTACAAATGTAGATTGTGACATCTAAACTGCAACCTAGTTATTTAAAAAGAGTTTTTAGAAATGCTTTTAAAATTTGTAAGCCAAATATTCATCTGATTTTTATTGTTAATATTTATGTTTGGACTCGGTCCATTGACCGGCCTACTTTGTTAGGACAAGTGTAGCTAGCATCACAGAAAAGGACAAAAATGCCTTCGATGTGTTTCTTTCCTCTCGTTTCTTGTCGACATTTTGATGACCCAACCCAATTTTGTGACGACTCTAATGGCGCTGAAGACAGAGCAATGAGTGCGTTAAAAGTTAATACGCTTTTGATGATGAGTTCATGTTCGCAAACTAGACTTCATGGGTTTCTATAACAAAGTCAACGTTTTAAACAGATGAGGAGTGCATAAAAAGTTACAGTTGTTAAATTAATCAACATTTTACTGTAGTAGTGCACTGTTGTTGTTGACTAGCATATTTTGAGAATGTTTTCAAAGTTCAGAAATGTCAAAGGCGAGGGCTGGGGTTAAAGTCTATCCAAGTTCACACTTGGTGTTCAAGTGCCATAAGAACAACCATTGGCCAATGATGTGAAAGTCTAAATATAGTCATGTTGACACCACATAGTCACATCATGACTATATATGGGCATATAATAATTTTTTGGTCAAAACAAATTTGATAATCTGAACAGATTTTTTGCCAGACTCAAATGTTTGTTCAGACTTTACTTGGATGAGGTGAAACATGAATTGTCTGTCTTTCAAGACCCATGATAAAGAAGACAATTTGTTTGATTAAATATGTCTAATACTAACAGGTGAAATGACATAATTACAGTAAGCCTCAATAATTGTGGCGTATGTACAGGGGATTAAGGGTTCGCAACCTGTCTCTTATACACATCTAGATGTGTATAAGAGACAGTATCAAATTGAAATATGCTGGGCCAAAGAATTACACTCAAATAGTTATTAATCATCTCATAATAATAATAATAATAATAATAATAATCAAATTATTTTGCTAGCTATTGCCCCACATTTAAGTATGAGGGCTCCTATTTGATTGATTTCATTTGGTTTTTTCATGTTCCCATTAGTTCACCACCTTCAAGTTAAAATAAACCATTAGAAAATGTCTAATCAAACATTTTCAGTCATATGTACCTGACAGATATGTATAGGATGGTGAATGCCCAGCTGTAAGCTGATGATGCGAAGAGTAGCAATTTGCAAATAACAGACATGTAGTACACAAGGTGATGAGATCTACGCTTGCCTTGTGCTGACAATGTCTGCGTTTATATTGTTCTAGATTCGACAGTATCCTCATTATTTTTCCCTTAAATTAATAGCACAAGAACAGCTTTTATTGTAATGAATGCTTTTTACAAAATGACTCGATTTTCACAGTGTCCATCAGTAAGACTTGTCTTCACCATTTCATTCAACCTCTGTTTAATTTACGAGAGTTCATTATTTGTAGGTGCTGTCACTCAGTGAATCCTAGCTTAGCCTCTAGTTCTTACTAACCAAAGGCTACTCTAGTTGTGCAGCGATGCATCGCTTCTTAAAGTCAGATCTAGACAGACAATCGTAATCTTGTGTTCTTTTTCCAAAATCATACAGAATCCCAAAGATCGCACTTCATTCGCTATTCTCTCCATTCTTCTATTCTCTTCTGTTCTTTCCTCCCTTTTTTTTCAAAATTGTCAAGTAATCGCCCTTCTTGCTTTATGCTCCTAATTTTTGTATAAGACTTGATTTGGTTCAATTACGACAGCATAGTTTAGTTTCTTTTAAGCGGTAGGCCCCATGTATGATTGTCCATGTTTTGTTTTTTAGAAAGTAAAACTTTCCTGGTTTTTTTTTTTGGTTTTTTTTTTTGCTGATAAAAGCTCTTGGTGGCTCATGTATCAATAAACTTGATGAAACTTGAATTCATGCAATTTCAATTCTAATTATACCGGTATATTTATACTATTTTTATATTTATATTATATTATTTTTTATAATTTCAGTTATTGATACTTTAATAATTATGACTTGATTCCCTCTATTTAAAACAAAATTCAACAAGGAAATATACACAACTTACTTTGAAGTGGCTGAACAAAAGCATCATCAAATAATCTTGATTATTTAATTTCTGGTATTTGTAAAATTTTCTGGAATTCAAGTTGAAATGTGAATGCTTTTTTTTTATTGCCGGTGATCAATTTTGCTACTTAGAATTTAATCTTAGGATCACTTATTAAGCATGTAATTAATGATATCTAATGTGAGAATGTAATGTAATGTACGTGCATTTCAATACCATTTTCTTGTTTACCTTTCAACAGATGCATCTACTCCCAAGAAATGTCGTGCTCGGTTTGGCGTCGACCAGCAAGACTACTGGTGCAAACCCTGCAGGTCAGTGTGCGAGAACATGTTTAGTTACCCTAACAGAACAACGCGAAAAGCATTTTGCCAAAAAAACCACTCAAATCAAAGTCGTTTAGCCCACATTGATGACAGTCTATAACAGATTCGTTACAATTCCAGGCTCAGTTGCCTAGCAACTGCCATTTACTATCTGTACGAGACACATTAGAAGTTGGCTCCTAATTATTTGTCTCGCTAATTGTTTGATTGATCGAGTTGGTTCATGTCCGCATCAACATACATTTAATCAAATGCAGGAACTCCGTTCTCATTTTACTTCTGTGGATTGCTTTTTACCTCTGATTTGCTCTGTTAATGGTAGATGACCAGGCCATTAAAACTCAAACTAATGTTTGATGGATTTTCTTATATTACAGGAGAAAGAAGAAATGTATTCGTTATGTGAGCGGAGACGAAAAGGGAGATGAGGACGATGATAATTCAAATGATCACTCGGATTGTGGTGGTGACGAACAGAACCCGGTTTCTTCAAGCGGCGAGAACGGAACCATGCAATCGGATGAGAGGCATTCACCTGTGCCGGTTCCCGTGTCTCATCCCGCGTTGATGAACGGTAATTCGGACAGCAACGAAACATCACAATCTTCCAGTACAGCTCAATCGCAGTCTCGTAGTTCACAATCAATTCCTTCACATTGTGTACAAACATTTGTCCACTCTCCACAACCTCAACTTGCGACACACCCCATAGCATATACACCCCCTCTGATGCTATATCCCACACAACCAGCATTTATCACGCACTCATCGCATTCCGGTTTTACAGGGACATTAACAGGACAATCACCGTTACACGTACTACCGAGACCACCTCCGCAAAGACTTTTAGAATTGCCAGAAGCACCTCAGGATTTATCAATGAAATCAGCTACTGTTACAGCATGAGGGCGTCGTTAAAATAATTATTTGTAAAGTATGTAAAATTTCTTATGCTGCCTTATAATTGTATAGAAATTTGAAGAAAAAAAAATGATCCTCCTGTTTGTCAGTATTGGTGTTGCCTCTCTTGGTATAAATACTGTTTGTGGAAAATTACTGCTTTTTTTGGACAAGTTTGTACACCAGAGGAAGAAAGATGGTCGCGTTTTTGAAGACTGAAGTCACGATGCCAGGCTGTCGACAAATGGCATCTGGCCACTATTGTAGCGCAGCTGCATAACGACGGTGATGACACTGGGATAAAACTGTGTCAGATATTGTGCTCATCAGTGATTAAGTATCATTGGTTGCCTAGGATTATTTGAAATGGCTATTTAAAGAAAATAAAACGAATTGCCTTCTGTATGGTTATTTTTTGAAGATTAATATGTAGAAAGCAAGTTTTTATCTAAAGTTGTTGAGCTACATACAAACATTACTTCAAATTAGACCAAATTCATCAAGGCTTGTTTTGTCAATCAGCTTAAAGTTTACTCATGACACAATATCATTTGAAAAGACAATTATAAACAATGTTTAAGATTAAGTAGCAAATTGTAGCTGCTTCTTTGGGGTTAAATGTTTAAACGTGTTTAGTTTGTTATATGCTAAGCAAAGTGATTGTCATTCACATTGAGCATGTTCTTATACGTTTCCACCCATTCTGAAATATGCCATTTTTCATTTCTTCAGTGTGTGTTTTGTCGTATGGAATTTTCAAAATTCCAAATTGTACATTATATCAGCTAATCATTGAATAGTTTTCTGGACAATCGCTTTGTGGTACGTTCGCTTTTACTGGACACCAAAGTACACTTCCCCTCTGAAATACACAAATCCCAGTATGCAAAAAAAAAAAATATATGTATGTTTTTAAATAAAATAAATGTGCTGAAAAGAGAGGAATGGTACTTTCTGTCGATTTTGCATTTTTCTCTCCTGCCTTTGTCCTGAAATTCTGCTAATGCTGGTAGTTGATATTTGGAGAACTTTGATAGTTTCAGTTTTGCAAGTTATTGATAAATAGAACCCCTTTGTGGCAACAATGTGGATTTGTTTTACTGCCCATAAGCCAAGTATTTTTTTAAAGATACTGTAAAAATGCCTGTTCTTTCAAACATGCATATTTTTTTCTGGAATGGTTGAACAGACTCGTAATATTGATCTGTTGTGGAGATGAGAAAAAGGTGAGGTTCCTCTCATGCCTGGATCGTTTTTGCCACAGATCAAAAATAATAATACACAAAGTTAATTTCATTATAAATACAGTTTTTAAAAATACGTATCCACAAGGCCTATTAATTACAGTGGACTAGCTTGCAGTTGGTTTTGTTAAATGCCACCAGATTAAATCAATTACATCGGCATATAATGCTGCTGCTAGAGGGCGCTTCAATTTTGAATGGCTTGTGTTTAACCATTTGATTTATTTTGATACTGATGCTTCATCAATCTGCCTTCAATAATTATCTGGTTAAAAAAATACTGTGGATTGAAAATTACAAAGCACAGTATTTTTATATATTCATGTTGTTTTTGATTGTGACGGTCATTGTGTTTCAGACCATAAATAGTTTAAAATTCAGAATCACTGGTAAAATGTTCGTATTGAAATGAGTTGGTATAAAATACTGACATAGCTATGTTTATGGTACAGTATATCAACATAGGTAAGATGGTAACACCTATCAAACATGGTATTGTTCTAATTATGAAATAGTATTATGATGGTACAACAGTTGACATGGTAAATAAGATGGTACTATCAGTGTGGTATTGGTCCTTCCATTGACTTAATGTGATAGTTCCAGCTGTTGATGTTGTCATAGAATAGTACCAACTACAGACATGATCAAGTGATTACCAACTACAGTAAATACATAGTATTGTAATATGATAGCAATTACTATACTGTTACTATAGCATCAATGAGAATAATTTGAAAATGTTTCTGTCATGCTTCTCCATTTATATATTGTTCCCATTTTTTATTTATTTTTTTTATTTTGTAGAAAATCAGATTTATTTATGCACATAAATTTGTTTAATATTTTAAAAGTATCTTTGCATCTTTGCAACGTTAGTATTTTAGCATATCAGTTTATATCAAAAATGTCAATTATTGTGTCTGGTATCGTCTCTAATCATGTCACATTGCCTCTCTTTTTTATTATCAAGTGTACTTAACAAGATTAGATCGATGGTTAAGAACTATCCTTTTCCTGGAACATAAGAGTCCATTTTCTTTGTATTATTATTAAGTTGGCCAGTCATCAATATAGATTTTTTTAATCTGGAAAAGAATAAATAAAAAAAAATTACTCAATACAAAATTAATTTATATGTCCTTGTTCTGAAATTTCAAGCCCAACGGTGATGTCCTTTTGGCCAGTGATCATTATGCTGGTGATGTAGACATAAATAATGCCTGGTACTCTTCGGCCAACGTGATGCTGTGGAGAATGCCGCGCCAAGATGCGCAACAAATCGTTTTTAATGGCTATTCAGACTTAACAATAATCAGCAGATGGCGTCGCGTTGAGTTGGATTCATCGGTCACACGGCTGAACGAAGTACGACGTACTGTAGCGAGTGCCCGGTTTAACAGTGCCAATCCACACCAAGTAGATTAGGCCAAATGAAAATAAAATCATGTTAGCAAGTTGAGGGCGTTTCTATCATCAACCAATCACACGTACGCGTTTACAATTTCCAGTTTCTTATTGGCCAGTGATTTGATCATCATATTGTTGGTATCCGGATCGGGATTTTTTCACATGGACGCACGGCAGCTAACGGTTAGCAGGATCTGGATCTTGCTAACCATTAGCTGTCATGTGAGAACATAGCCTATGTGTTTCTAGGGCATGGCCTGAAAAACAATCTGGATGTGTAATATGATGCCATTTTGTAAAAGGCTAAAATATATTAAAATTGGGTCTCGTCCTATATTTTAAAGTCATGTCCATACTGTCAAATTTTGACAACAAACATGTGACATGCCTAAATATGGTCATGATGACATCACATCATGACCATATATAGACACATCATGACTATATATGGGCATACAACAGCTTTTTTGTCAAAGAAAATTTGATAATCTGGACAGAGCTTTAAAAAAATATTTGGTATATTTTGTTCCCTTTGGTTTTGTTCTTTCAAGCAAGGATTTGTGTTGGTGCATTTTTCATGTTTCTTTTCCAGAATAGAGTACATATCTTATGTTATACAATGGATGATGAGACTCAAGATGGTGGGTGTTATGCCATTATTTATACAATATTATCCATTTCATCTATATTTTGCAACAATTTTGGTGACAAGTGCTTTTGAAATTTAGTACTTCAACGGATTTACATCAACGGTGTGACCTTTGACACTAAAAGCTAAATAAAATTATCAAGGACATGTTTGTGTCCATAGACACTTTATAGTAAGACACCTGCTTTTATATACATTTGTGTATAAAGAATCTTTGTGTGCTTATAGGCACTCATGTCTATTAAAAGGCATTCTTGTTTATAGATGTTTTTGTCTAAAGGCACTTATTGTATCTAAAGACACTCATTGTGTCTATAGAAACAATGCTTTTGTTGATGTTTTTATGACTAGTAGATAATCATTTATTTATTTATCCTCATGTATATTAAAATACCTTTATGAAAGTTCAAAAAGTGAAATTTCCAGATACTGTATTGGTGTACAAGCTGGACTTCATTGTTAGTTGATGTTTTTTTAGTTGTATATTCTTCTATTTCTTTAGAGAGCCTTGATGTGTAAACAACATGCATTGTTTTATTGTACAGAGAATGAGTCGTTCAGAATGTTACGAGGAGTTGTGTTTTTTTTAATCGAGATTGGTTCTGGCACAGCAATAAAGAAAGCAGACAAATTCACTGTTTAATTACTTGTCTTCATTTCGGTTTTTTTTTTACACTTTTTATTACTAAGGAATTATTTGGATTTCTATCTGAGAGGATTTAATATAAACACCCAAATGGCAGCAAAATGAAAATTACAAGATGATAATGATAAAAAAAAAGTAATTATTAGGACCGTAATAATGATAATATTCATATTAACAAACATCTCTGTGATATATTTAGACACCCAACTTGTTCACTGGGCTTTTTTGGCAGTACTTTACTGTAATTATGTCGTGGTTGGAAGTATCAATGTCAAGGAATTTTTGTGTGTACCACAATTGTATAGCCTGTATTGTCTTGTTTGTTGAATTGGCAATAATTAAATAAATAAGTACAAGTAAATAAAATAAAACTATCAGCAATCTATACTTTATTTATATACTCAAGGGTACAGTGATTGATTATGCCGCCCTCTACCGTTTCCATCTGCTCAAACCACCTTGATGCCAAGTTGGGGTATTTTCGCTACCATTTTAATATATTATTGCCTTCACTTTAATATAATACAGTAATATGTTGCTGCCTTCACTTTAATATAACCATAATCACCATTTTGCACCCCAGTCTACGCCCATGATTGGCATCGTCGCCATAACCATCTCCATCGACGTCATCATCATCATCATCATTTATATGGAACTTATGTTTCTTATAGGCCTACCATGTTATGGACTTAAAGTGTACTCACTGCTATTTCCATTTTGGACAAGTATAATTGAGCTCAAATAGTTTCATCTAGTTTTTGTGATATGAAAAATTCTTGTAAGTAAACCATTAATTGTGGGAAACGTCAACAACAGTAGCGAACCAGCCATTATCTGATGAAGGTCCGTTGATAACGGATCGAAACTTCACAAACGGTAAGTATATTTAATAGTTTACTTACAAGAATGTTTCCATGTCCAAATAAAATTGAATCGTGAATCGTAATCTTCTTCGTCTTCTTAATCTTCATTACTAGCATCCATGTTCGTTGTGATAAATTCGCACAAACGTCTAATTATCATTTTAGGTTATTAACGATTATTTCAATGATGCCTAATTATATGCTTTTTTGGGTCCTGACCTTAAACAATGTTTTTAATGTGTAGAACCATAATATCACAGAACATTTTCTATGTAAAAACGACTTTGCTGATATTTTTTTAGTGGATTACTATTGAACAATTTTCCTATATTGTAGGCGTCACTGACGTTTTGTTCCGTCATACTTCATTGACTATTAAAAGTCTTGTCAGAATCGTTCTAGAGGAATATTAAAAATTCAGTTTACAAAGTTAAATGATGTATGCAAATCTAGGCTTACCCCCAGCTGTATAGAATGAAAAGCACTTTTCCAGCAAATTAAAATTTGCATTTATAATTTTCATCGAGTGTCGTCCCTGATGTACGGCCTCCTGTGTATATAATTTGAGAACAATGCCGGATTAAAGAAGGTTGCAACGTTGCAGAATATTTTTATCTAATGACTACGGAAATTTGTCTTTATTATTATATTGACCTAAAGCAGTCCCTTGTAGGTTGGTCCACAGAATTTTATATTCCACATGTTGTCATTTACAGGGCATAATTATGTCCAGTCTAAATTTCCGGTTAATATTGTGCCATAATTAACGATGGACATCATAAACCTATTATTATAGGCCCATCGTCTTCAATTTTATCATTTCAAGATAGTAAGCTGATATTTGGAAGAATATTAAATATAGAATAATTATTATAATCTACCGTATGTTTTCTGATTAGTTTGTGTGGCTGATGTAGAGTATGAGGAGGTATTTTTTCTGTAGTTTGTTTTTTCAGAGTTAAATATTATACGCATAGATAGGCCTCTAACTAGGCGTACCGTTGCGTATCTGTTATGTAGGTGTAGGCATGGCCTACGCAAGAAAATGAGCGGAGTGTTGTTAAATTTGCTGGGACAGCATTACGTCACGTTAGGCCTAATTCATATATGCGTCTGTAGTGCTCATTTTACTGTTATTCTTAATAAAAAGTCAATATTCTTGCGCGGCCAAAAAGTTGAAGGGTTATAGAAAGAAAAATGTCATCATTAAACAAGTCTATATCTGCGCACTTTAACTCAATCTTGATATAAATCTAGGCCTGGTTGCTCGTGAAGAACTCTATAAAAAGTGCTATTCTGCTTTGATTCGGAAGATTCGAAAGCGGTAAAGGCTAGCATCCTATTGGCATACTATCATCTGAATTATGAATTGTGTTAATTTTTGGTCTATTTTTTTCGTTATGATGTCGTGCTTATTTTAGATTTGTAATTTTTCAACGTATGATCTATTGCTGTATCTTGATATTAAAAGAAAAATGAATATTTGCAAAATGAATGCGTAAAATATAAACAAAATATAAAAAATATAAACAAAATAAAGTTATTTGGAAGACGAAACACATGACATAGGCCTATGTAGATCTGATTTCATCCCCGGGAAAAAACGCACCTGCTAGGACTGAGATGTTTCGTAGACTGCAGTCTGCTGTGATACATACAGCTCAAGAATATTATACTAAGTAGGATCCCTCGGAGGTCTCATCTAGTTGAGACATCTGCCTCCAAAATAACGAGCACAATCTCACTCACCACCTTGATGAGGTTTCGCAAATTACCACTCAGAATTGCATAAAAATTCATTTTTTCCTCGATATCCTTCCAAATTTCTTCATGATTACAAACTTTCCAAACATCGTCATCCTTTATCTTCTATATCATCATCTTAAACATCAAATTATATATATATTTTTTGAATCAAATTCCCAGGGTACTGGCGAGATAAACGGACATCCACATGTTGTCTTTAATGGACATGTGCGTGCCCACTTCACACCATTTAGATGTATTTCATTTATCACCGGATAACATAAAAAAATAAATAAACAAATAAAAAGAATGTATAGTTGAACCGTCAAGTTTTATGCATATTATGTATGCGAGATGATAAGATGTTTGATGGGCCTTACACGCTTCTGTGTCCATGTTTTATCTGGTAATACTAGCTTTTATTTGTTCCCATTTTCTTTATCATTTGGGCATCTTCTTTTTTTATAGCTTCATATGATCTGATTAGTTTTTTTATTTCCCAATCTTATAAAACGAGGTCACACAGCTTCAGTCATACATGTAGGTTTTACAACTAAAAAGCAAATAAATAAATAAACCAAACTATAAATATAAAGGGGAAATGCATAGGAGGTTTATTTATAAGGAGAAAAATTACGGAGTTGTAGAGATCGAATGGTCTATATATATTATGCACAACACCGGTATTTATTATTTAGAAAATAAGGTCAAGAATACTAACTTACGGTATATTTATATAACCTTAGGCTATAACATAAGTTGATAAGCCTTAAATAAATCAACATCATTCTGGAGTATAAATTAGCACTTTCATCCATGCTCCATTTATCTTTCAAATCATATTTTTTTTTATGTCAAAATAATTTAAGAATTTCTGTATTTATGACCCATAAATTCAGAATCACTATAAAAACTTGGTCACAACTGACATGAAGTCATAGAAAAAAAACACTTTATCTTTATTAGCCTATGTTAAGTTTATTATATAAGTAATTTGTATATGTTTTTTTTTTAATTGTATTTCCAACTTCAACTACTATTCAAGCAAAATATTTCCATTTTACATTATATGTGTATTTTTTATGGACAGGTCAATAAAATGAATCTGAATGTGAGTTAATGTTCGTGGTAGGCCTAACGAGTTTAATTGTAAATTTAAATTTTAGAGTCAAAGTAATGTGTTCTATGATTTCTATCCCACATCCACAAAACGTTACAATAGAAGCAAGATGGTATGGTATTTAAATCTAGGCCTGCTGTTCAAACAACCAACGTTGCATTGGTTGGTGCCAAATATTCCTGAATACGGAAATTGGCCAAAAAATATTTTTATACGTTGTTTAATACAGTTTCAACAGATGCACTGATTATGTTTAAATAACATAAAATGAACGTTACTCCGAATAAAGAGAGGGAGGCCATGATTCAACGTTTCGACCTTTATTGGGTCATCATTAGGAATGACAAAAAACTTAGACAGTGATTACAAAAAATGCATCAATATTTAATACAGTTTATGTTGTTTGTTTCATATTAGACAACTGAAAACACCCCTCACACAAACTGATTCGATTGCCCACACATTATTGGGCTGATGTAGATCAGGCCTATACATTCCGCTGCGACCAGAGTTCAACAGCAACATAGACATTCTAATCATATGTTAATTTAGCTAGCATTATTTTGATTTTTGTCTTTCTTAATTATGGCTAGATAATGTTAAATGTAATGCTGATAATTTAAATTTTGGGGACAAAGTTTCCTCTTCCCATTAGGAGAGGAATATACACCGTAATAATTTGTCCGGATGGAAAAATGTATTTTTAATATAGGCATATTGTTAGATTCTAGATTGAATAAGTCTTTCAAATTCCTAAATTGCCGTAGTTTCTGAGGCTTCACCAATTGGACACCTTCCGACGGATTCTGAACGACGCCCGACCACGCCCACTTCTCGTCGGGAACGTCGGACCACCACGGGCAAATCCTTGAGCCAATACTGCTACTGCTAATAAGAGTATACGGTACTATTCCATATAGTGCAATCCATTCACAACTATGGTAATGGCGTTGATAGTTGGTTACCAGCTCGTCGTCTTCCAACGGGAGATGTACCCGACGAGAACAAAGTGGACGTGGTCGGGCGTCACTCAAAATATGTCGAAAGTGGTCCAGGGTCGAAACCCCGAACATTTTGACAATTTAGAGGTTTCATAGGCTTATTTAATTGATTTTAGAGATTACTAATACTGTATGTAGAAAATACATATACATTTTTTTCTTTCACGACGGATTGTGGTTATTCTCCCTGACGGCACCACTGACGCCACAGGATTAACAAAGGCCGTTTTAAAATGTTTTATTATATTGTACTTTT